ATCCTCTGGATGGAATGCCATGATTGGCTGATTCACCAATCCCTTTAAGGATGTCTTAGAGCACAGTGTCTTTTCTGGACGTTTGAGATCAATGTCCGCTGACTGCAGCCATTGCCTGAACCATGTCAGGGAGCATGTGCATGTGAAAGGGTTTCTAGAAATGTCCAACATTAGTGAAGTATTCGCAGGCAGTACTGTCCCACGTCCAATGGTGCTGATTTGATTTCCCGATAAAGAGAGATCCGTCAGTCGAGGAGCCTGGGCAAATGTTGTCGGTTCCAGACCACGAAGAATGTTATCCGGGATGTATACCACTCTCAGTTGATTGAGACCATGGAAAATGTCTCCTGCCATCTCCACTAACTTGTTTCCATTGAGATAAAGAAACCTTAGAGAAGTGAGGGGACTGAATATTCCCGGCCTTAGCACCTGTATGCTTGATTTGCTTATATCAAGATAGTAAACTTTTGAAAGGTTGTGAAATACTCTCTTATCCAGGCTGACTAAATAATTGTCTTTGAGTCGTAGTTTTTTTAGGGAAAAGAGACCAGAGAAAAGCGACCGATTATTAATCTTATTGTATAAATCGGTATCTCTCAGCTTTGCCCCTTCCAAGCGCAGATCTTGTAGACATGTCATATTATAAAACTGTTGAATAGAACTTTTAGACACTTGAATATCTGTATATGACAGATCCAAGTAGACCAAGGTCCGAAGTTGCTTGAAGGTTTCTTTCAAAGAACGTCCTATCTCGTTTGACAAATGCAGTTCCTTCAAGAGTTCGATGTCTGTAAATGCACTTTTACTGTAAGCGGTAACTTGGTTGTGCGATACATTGAGTATCTCCAGATTGGCGAGCCCCGTAAACATCCCTTGAGAAATGAATGGTATATCGTTATGTATGTTATAAGATATGTCAAGTACTCTAAGAGTCCCAAGTGTCCAAAGTCGTCTACCACTGTTAATATGGGTGATTCTATTACCGGATAGGGAGATTGACCGTATTAATGGCATTCCGTCAAAGGATTGGGGTGAGAGATTTGGCAGTAAATTGTCGGATACATCCAATGTTGTTAAATTTTGCAAGCACGCAAAAGTTTCAGGTAGTAGGAAACTAGTTTCTTAGAGGATACGTCAAGTTCTATAAGCGATGTCAACTAGCAGAATGACTCGTTGGAGAGTGAATTTATCTTATTGTAAGATAAAAGCAGCTTCTTGAGCCATATGAAGCCCCAAAATGCCCCAGGGGGTACATTCTCAAGGGAATTGCTCTTGATGTCAAGTGTCAAAATAGATGGATAAGGGGTATGATAATCACTGGCATTGTCAGGTAGGAGAAGTTGATGGATTCCACATCCATATATTGATAGATCCTTTATAAAAGTCATTCCTAAAAATGGTCGAATATCATATAATTAGAGGGTTTTTCCTTGAAGTGTAAAACTGTCTATAAAAGTCAGATGAGAGAAGGCTTTCGGAGATAATTTCTGTATCCTATTTCCAAACAGTGAAAAAGTACCAACACTAGTATTTTGCAGGGGCAAAGCTTCCTCAAAATATTGATACCAGGAAACATTAAAAATGTCATAAATTCTGCTTCATAATGATGACAGGACGAAAACTATTTTTGTTTTGTTAACAAGAAGCAGAACCTCTATGCCTTAATGAGAGTATATGATCCTCGTTGTATACTCCATATCTTGTGTTCATGCATAGTCATTCAAGTTATTGTGGTGGTTTAGTATTTTATGCTGATTAAAGTTGTCAAAAGTGTATTTTTCTTCCAATTTTAACATGAAAAGTTGGAGGTAAAATTCAAAATATTCTGTATGTTTTATTTTCATTTTCCAACATCTTTTAAAAGAAGAGTGATTTTATGTATGCAGACATCAAGTGTTTTTTGTTTCATCCATGCCTTTGTGTATATTTAATGTTTACTTTTCTTTGTTGTATTCTAAGATTATCATTATTTAAAGCATACTCTCAAAAGTCACTCAAACCATGTACATGTTAACAGTTATGATAGGAGGACCTGTCTTGCTTTTAAAAGTCCAGTGACTGAAAAGAAATTTAGATATTCCCCTCAAAGTAAAATATCCTCATCCTGTCAAAATATATTTTTTGTAATAATTTTTAACATAGATTTTAAAAGCTAGAGTTATGGAAAACCAATGATCTGAACCTGTTCTTCTCTTTAATTTAGATATTCCCCTCAATTTAAGATATCCTCCTCCCTTAAAACACGAATATGATTTTGATAATTTTTAATATGGATTTAAAAAGCTAGAGTTAATGAAATCAATATTGTGAAGCTGATATTCTCTGTTATAATGCGTATGAATGTCAACACTTCGCCTACATGTAACGAGGTGCTTGACTCATATACTTGAGTCAAATGTGATTTTCTGGAAGATATATCATGTTTTGTTTTGTACTGATTATTCAACTCAATGCATGACATGAAGTGATTCTAACTTGCCTATAATTATGAAAATATAATTAAAATAGAACTCTCAAATAATGAGCAGAAAAGTCCAGCGTGTGATGTATCTTCTTTTAATGTGTACTTTGTACAAAAAATACACCAGTTAAATACTTGCATTTCAGAAGTGTAATACATTTACGAATTAAGATTTCTCAACAAATTCAAATGACTTTGATAACTTGAAATACCTAAACATTAGTTGCGCAGCTTAATTCATACTATCAAACTTATTTTTTAAATTTTTTATTGCATAGTACTTTTACTACAAATACAATACATATTGATACATACAAATCCTAATACACTTAACATTTCTTGTGGATAATGATAATACAAAATATGTAAATGTCTTGGTTACCTAGTATAGCCTTATCAGTATTAGTATTTGTCTCCCCTAGGGCCCGGCAATTATATTGACACGATTGAAAGCATGTGCTTAAATAATTCTGTAATATTTATGAAATATTGTAGGACACTTACATCTTTTGTTTAAAAAGGTTTTCAAATTAAATCAAAGGCCCACAGAAAATATTGATTAATTATTCGTTGATGATTGACTGAATGAAATGATACTCGGTCATCTAAATCACTAACTTCAATTCAACATAGTAGGCATTATTTCATTTGAATGTTTTACATTCATTTTCAACTGTGACCGTAATGCTTTCAGAATATGGTTGAATCTTATTTCATGATTTTATATGCATGTGTAATATAATATGTATATTTATTAATTCAGTGGAAACTGTTTTAATACTTGAGAAATTTGTTGGTAACTAATACACACATTCTGGTAAATATAAATGTATTCATACATGTACATGAACAATCGTTCATCTATTCAAACGTATGAGTAGAAAGACTATATATCTATGTACCTATATGAAACTAAGGCGCCAGGGACCACACAATGAGATGCCAGAATGAAAGCATACATCAATGGGAAGACCAAATTCATTCAAACTACTTGACTTTTAAACCTATATCATAAGCCAACATATCTACACGTACACGTAGTTGATAGCAAAACCATATTCATGTACGTAACCAAATTGAATTGAATTCATTGGTGGAAAAGGTATATAACAAAATTTCTATGGTTGAAGAATTTCGCAATATTCGAAACAAAATAATTTGCATCAAAATTCTTGTATACTACAGCACCAGAGACGAAAATTATTGAATCTACCATGCACCATCACTGCTATTTTCGTTTGTAAAATGTAAGAAAATGGTGAATTTATACTTTTGTACTACTCAGTAAATATCAATACGATGTCTATGACATTGTCCAAAACAATTATAAATAATTTGAGCTAAGACAACCGATACATCAACATTTATTTTTGTTCATATTTGCAAGAATGAAAAAGTGTTTTTCAAAAGTGTGGAAAAATTCCACAAGGCAGATATAAATCAAAGAGACTTTCAAGGTAAACAAAATAGCAGAAAATGATGTTGGAGAGAAGGTTGAAGAAATCGCTCTTTCATCATTGTCCTTATAAATAAAAGGAATTCTTACATTTCACATACAATTTTATTTGTTAAGAATCATAATTTATATACACTTAATTTTCATCTTGATATTCACCTGTACAAATATATTGTTATTAGCAAAATAATTATATCCTATTGTGTTACCTTGTTGTCAGGAGTTTTAAGCTTAATCCATTTGAATCATATAACATCGCATTTTTCGAGTTGTAAAATACATTTTGAATGCATGTTCTTTTGTTATAGTGCCAATGATGCATCAATCTAAAGAGATTAGGGTTATGATTACGATTATGATTACATTGATTATGATGATTATCAGCTTGCCGGATCTGGATTATGGTGATGGATATGATTATGAATATCATTATGAATATGATTATGATTACAATGATTATGATGATAATAATAATCGTCCGTACTTGTATAGCGCATAATACTTGGTGTCTATGCGCTTCCAAAGAGCTTTGGAAATTATTACCCTAGCTGATTACGATTATGATTACGATCACCGTCTAATTTAATTTTTATTATGATAATAATTGATCATGCTTTTTGTAAATATGATCACGGTTATGATGATGAATATGACTATGATTAAAATGATAATGCAAATATAATTATGATTTTGATCACGATGTTTATGATTAGGAATTAACTATGATTACCACATTTTCAAAAATGACAAATTACTTTTAAACACATAAAGAAAATACACATATGGGAAATTTACAGAATTTGTGAATGCAGGAGAAGGCCGTCATGAAAGCGTTGCTTAATGTCAATTGCGGCCTCAATAAAAAGTAATCAACAATGAAAGTGTTTATTTGTCATGTTGTTCGTCTCATGAAGCTCTGGTCGGCTGCCAATCTTCAGTACGTGTATTGGAATCTAAAGGTGACCTAAAATTGAAGACAATGTTCTAACATTGGGGAAAATGCACTGGACTTGCCGTTGTCGTGACTTGACTCCTACTCTGTGGAACACATTTTCCACTGCAACCCTTCATATTGGGCTTTTCAGCATTACAATTTAGAGAGGAATGGCATTGTTGATAGCCTTATTAGCTCTCATGCTTTTCCCAAACTGAGCCCAGAATAATTCCTGTCCATCTTCATCATCCGTCCACAACATGTAAGGTTTGTTTCTACTCAGGAACAACCTGACAAGGTACGGCATGTTCCCATCTTCGATGTCCTTAACAAAGATCAAGATGACTTTGTCCAGTCCAGAATCGTTGAGATGCTCCAGAGCCATACGAAGCTTGGTCATGGTCCAGGCATCATTGACAGACTGGTTGCTAAGCAACAAGACAGTCTTGAAGCTGTTGTCGATGGCATCATAGAGTGCAGGGATGTAGTACATACCAAGGTGGAGGTCTTCGTCTCCAAAGATGGTATTCTGAAGATGTGGCATCCTCTCCTCCAGTGCAGGTCTCATGACCCGGTCAACCCATTCCTGTTCTGCTTCATCGAACATGAGGTTGAGATGATGACGATAGTTATCTGCATTGAAATCTTCTGCCATTTCCTCGTATCCAATGACAGCTAGTTTGAGAAGAAAGAGTTTGTGATTCAACCACCATCGCTTGTTGTAGGCAAGCATGGATATCATCACAATCACTACACCTGTCAATGTAAGAATCGTGATTAGAACAATGTCCGCACCACAGTGATCCTCAGGATGGAATGCCATGATTGGCTGATTCACCAATCCCTGTAATGATGTCTTAGAGCACAGTGTCTTATCTGGATGTTGGAGATCAATGTCAGCTGACTGCAGCCATTGCCTGAACCATGTCAGGGAGCATGTGCATGTGAAAGGGTTTCTAGAAATGTTCAACCTTAGTGATGTATTCGCTGGCAGAACTGTCCCACGCTCAACGGTGCTGATTTGATTTCCCGATACAGAGAGCACGGTCAGTCGAGGAGCCTGGGCAAATGTTGTCGGTTCCAGGCCACTAAGCATGTTATTAGGGATGTACACCACTCTCAGTTGATAGAGACCATGAAAAATGTCTCCTGCCATCTCCACCAGCTTGTTTTCACGGAGATAAAGAAACCTCAGAGAAGTGAGGGGACTGAAGACTCCCGACCTCAGCACCTGTATCCTTGATTTGCTCATATCAAGATAGTAAACGTTTGAAAGGTTGTGAAATACTCTCTTATCCAGGCTGACTAAATAATTGCCATTGAGTAGTAGTTTTTTTAGTGAAAAAAGACCAGAGAAAAGCGACCGATTATTAATCCCATTGTATAAATCGGTATCTTTGAGCTGAGCCATTTCCAAGTGCAGATTTCTTAAACATGTCATATTATAAAATTGTTCAATAGAAGTTTGAGACACTTTAATTTGTGTATATGACAGATCCAAGTAGTGCAAAGTCCGAAGTTGCTTGAAGGTGTCTTTCAAGAATACTGCCCTCTCTTTTGACAAATGCAGCTTCCTCAAGAGTATTAGGTCCGTAAATGCATATTTACTGAAACTGTTTACTTGGTTGTTAGATACATCGAGTACCTGCAGACTTGTGAGCCCTGTAAACGTCCCATGAGAAATGAATGCTATATCGTTATAAGATATGTCAAGTACTCTGAGAGTCCCAATTGTCCAAAATCGTCTACCACTGTTAAGATCCGTGATTCTATTAACATATAGGAAGATTGACCGTATTAATAGCATTCCGTCAAAGGATTGGGGTGAGAGATTTTGCAGTAAATTCTTGGATACATCCAATGTTGTTAAATTTGGCACGCAAGCAAAACTTTCAGGTGGTAAGGAAACTAGTTTGTTAGAGGATATGTTAAGTTCTATTAGCGATGTCATCTGGTAGAAGGACTCGTTGGAGAGTGAACTTATCTTGTTGTCAGATAAAATCAGCATCTTGAGCCATATGAAACCCCAAAATGACCCAGGAGGTACATTCGTAATTGAATTTTTACTCACGTCAAGTGTCAAAATAGATGGATAAGGGGTATGATAATCACTGGCATTGTCAGGTGGGAGAAGTTGATCGATTTTACATGTAGATATTGATAATTTGTTGATATAAGTCATTCCTAAAAATGGTCGAATATCAAATGGTTTGAGGGGATTTCCTTGAAGTATAAAATTGTCTATGGAAGAAGTCAGATGAGAGAAGACTTTTGTTGATAAATTATGTATCTTATTTCCAAACAGTGAAAAATTACCAACAGTAGTATTTTGCAGGGGCAGAAAGTCACTCTGATGAACTTCTTGCACCTCATTCTTCCGCAGATTTACATCCGTCAAATGAGACCATCGGGAACATCCCTTGAAGTTAAGACTTTTTATTTTGTTGTGAACTAGCTCAATTTTTGAAAGTCTTGGTATGGCTGCAAGAGATTCACAAGGAAGAGTATCTAGTTGATTATAACCCAACTCTAGCTTGGTGAGTAGCGTGTTTTTGACAAAGAGCAGAGGAGACATAGTCTGTAGATTACAATGATGTAATATGACCAACCTAAGCATTGTCAGAGGCCAGAGGGCTTTGTTTTCGATGACAGAAAGTGGGTTATCATATGCAGCCAGTGTAACAAGATTTGGCAGGTGTTTAAAGGACTCGTCATGCAGGGTTGTCAGGTTGTTGGAGGACAGGGCAAGGGTATTCACTTCTATTGGCAAGTGTTGAGGTACTGCTCTCAGCCCAAGATTATTGCAATCGGCGATAAGTCCATGACTTGAGTTCTTTAAATTGCACTTTCGAAGATTCTTGTTTGAAGCCACATCTTCTGCAGTACCCTCCGACTGAGGCAGGAGCAGGAAGACGATTCCTAATGCAACCAACATCAAATGAACACAGATCATGGAATTCGACTCATTGGCAGCCATATTGTTTCATTCACAGACCTTAATGTATGAGAGTTAATGACACTGCCCTTAGAAACTAGATCAGAAATGACAGCAGCGTGCATCAGATTTCATCAATGCTCATCAGCGTAATTTTTCTATGGAGTTACAGTACAGTTCATGTACATCTTTGTATGCAAACCTGAAATGAAATTGTGAGGAAAGTCATTGAGCTTCCTCAAAATATTGTTACCAGGAAATATTAAAAATGTCATAAATTCTGCTTCATCATGATGACAGGACGAAAACTATTTTTGTTTGTTAACGAGAAGCAAAACCTTTACGCCTTTCGGAGAGTATATATATATATATATATACATGTAACTAATATATACATATCCTCGTTGTATACTCCATATCTTGTGTTCATGCATAGTCAATTAATTTCTTGTGGTGGTTTAGTATTTTATGTTGATTAAAGTTGTTAAAAAAAGTATTTTTCTTGCAATTTTAACATGAATCATTGTACATGAAACTTGCCATAAATGCATGCATGCTTTAAAGTTGTTAAAAATTCTCTTTCATTTTCACATCTGAAATCTTTTCTAAACAGGAAGTTTGTAGCTCATCCTGAATGAAACTTAGATTAGGAGAACTTGAAAATAATCAAATTTTGGGTCATTAACACTCTGTTCTTATTCAAAATGAACAGAATTTTTTTTATTTAACATGTATGCAAAGTGTTTTTCTTGAAACGTTTCGGATATTTTTGCTTTTATTCAAGTCCAAAGTGAAAAGCAATGTAACAATTTTAACTTTTCCACGACCATGTCAAAATGTTAAATAGTATTTTAAAAATCATTCTCATTATTTTGTTAATCTTCATATTTTTTCTTCTTCAGATATCTGACTGGAAGATTAATTCTACAATCGTTGGTAGCACAGACAAGGAAGGGTGGCAATATTCATACAGTAAGATCTTAATGAAGCTCTTAAAAAAATTAAACAGTAATAATGAAGCAAGTGCTCCTAAAGGGAAAGTCCCCCTTGATATTAGTTTGATTTTGATAGAAACTAAACAAAATGAGAGAAATAGGTTAGTGAAGGTTTGAGCAAATTTCGATTAAAGATAAGAAAGTTAACCAATAAAAAAATAACCCAGTCACACCCTCCCTCCTTCACTCATCCACAAACCCCTGCACTTCCTCCATCTCTCACCCATCTACTCCCTCCCTCATCCACTCACTCCCTCCTTCATTCATCACTCCCTCACTCATTCAGTCACTCCCTCACCCACTCAGTAACTCCTACCTCTAACTCTCCCACTCATACACTCACTTCCTCCTTCCCTCCCTCACTCTCCCACCCACTGACTCCCTCCCTTTTCGCACACACACTCATTCACTCTCCCACTCACCCATTAACACACTCACTTCCTCCTTCACTCAGTCACCCACTCACTCATTTATTCAGTCACTCTCTCACTCACTCCCACCTTCCCTTCCTCACTCTATCCCTCACTCACTTGTCCACATTCCCTCATGTACTCACTCGCTCCCTACCTCATTCACTCCCTCTCTCCCTCAATTTAATATATCCTCATTGTTTCGAAAATTGATTATAATTTGAATGATTTTTAATATAGATTTAAAAGCTAGAGTTATGGAAATCAATATTGTGAAGCTGTTGTTCTCTGTTATAATGTGTATGAATGTCACACTTCGCCTACATGTAACGAGGAGCTTGACTCTGGAAAATATATCATGTTTTGTTTTGTACTGATTATTCAACTCTATGCATGACATGAAGTGTTTCTAACTTGCCTATAATTATGAAAATAATAAAAGTAGACTGTGAAATAATGAGCAGAAAAGTTCAGCGTGTGATGTATTTCCATTATTTTCTTTTAATGTGTTCTTTGTACAACAAATAAACCAGTTAAATACTTGCATTTCAGATGTGTAATACATTTACAAATTTAGATTTCTCATCAAATTCATATGACTTTTATAACTTGAAACACCTAAACACTAGTTGCGCAGCTAATTCATACCATCCAACTTAATTAATTATTTCTTCTTTATTGCATAGTACTTTTACTTGAAATACAATACATATTTATACATACAAATCCTAATACACCTAACATTTCTTGTGGATAATGATAGTACAAAAATTGTAAATGTCTTGTATACCCAGGGTAGCCTCATCAGTATTGATAACTCCACCTAGGGCCCTGCAATCATATTGACACGATTGACAGCATGTACTTAATCCATTCTGTAATATTTATGAAATATAGTAGGACACCAACATTTTTTGTTTTAAAAGGTTTTCAAATAAGATCAAAGGCACACAGAAAATATTGATTAATAATTCGTTGGTGTATTGACTGAATGAAACGATACTCATTCATCTAAATCACTAACTTAAATTCAACATAGTAGGCATGATTTCATTTGAATGTTTTACATTCATTTTCAACTGTGACCATAATGCTTTCAGAATATAGTTCAGTTTTATTTTACGATTTTAAATGCATGTGTAATATAATATGTACATTTATTAATTTAGTGGAAACTGTTTACTTAAGAAATTTGTTGGTTACTAATACAAAAATTGTGGTAAATGTAAATGTATTCATAAATGTACATGAACAATCGTTCATGCATGCAAACTTATAGGTAGAAAGACTAAATATCTAGGTACCTATATATGAAACTAAGGCGCCAAGGATCACACAATCAGATGCCAGAATGAAAGCATGTATCAATGAGGAAGGCCAAATTCATTCAAATTACTCTCGTGTGTCACTAGCAATGTCCAATTTGTGTAATCACTATTACCAAGTTTCTTCTTGACTTGTATACCTATATCATTAGCCAAAATATCTACACGTACACGTAGTTGCTAGCAAAACTATATTCATGTACGTTACCAAATTGAATTAAATTCATTAACTCGACGGAAAAGGTAAATACCACAATTCTATGGTTGAAGAATTTTGCAATGTTCGAAACAATATGACTTGCATCAAAATTCTTGTATACTACAGCACCAGAGACGAAAAGTATTAAATCTATCATGCACCATCACTGCTATTCTCGTTTGTAAAATGTAAGAAAATTGTGAATTTAAACTTTTGTACTACTCAGTAAATATCAATACGATGTCTATGACATTCTCCAAAATATTATAATTAATTTTGAACTAGGACGATTGATAAATCAAAATGTTTTCATGTTAATATTTGCAAGAATGAATAAGTGTTTTTCAAAAGTGAGAAAAATTTCATAAGGCAGACATAAAACAAAAAGAAATTCAAGGTAAAAACAAAATAGCAGAAACTGATGTTGGAGAGAAAGTTGAAGAAATTGCTCTTTCCTCATTGTCTTCATTAGCAAAAGGAATTTTTACATTTCACATACAATTTTATTTGTTAAGAATCATAATTTATATACACTTAATTTTCATCTTGATATTCACCTGTACAAATATATTGTTATTAGCAAAATAATTATATCCTATTATGTTACCATGTTGTCAGGAATCATAAATTTAATCCATTTGAATCATAACCTCGCTTTTTCCGAGGTGTATAATACATTTTGAACGCATGTTCTTTTGTTATAGTGCCAATGATGCATCAAACTAAATAGATTATGGTTATGATTACGATTATACTTACAATGATTATGATGATTATTAGTATGCTGGATTTTGATTTTGGTGATGGTTATGAATATGATTATGATTACAATGACCTTGATGTTTATGATTAGGAATTTAACTAGGATGATTACCACATTTTCAGAAATTACACATTCCTTTTAACACATAAAGAAAATACACATACGGGAAATTTACTGAATTTGTGAATGCAGGAGACGGCCGTCATGAACGAGTTTCTTAATGTCAATGGCGGCCTCAATGAAAGAGTTTAGTTTTCATGTTATTTGGTCTAATTAAGCTCTGGTCGAGCTGTCAACCTGTTTTGGAAACCAAAGGTGAACTAAAATTGATGACAATGTTCTAACGTATGGGGAAAATGCACTGGACTTGCAGTTGTCATGACTTGACTTCTGCTCTGTGGATCACGTTTTCCACCTCAAACCTTCATATTGTGCTTGTCAGAGATACAATTTAGAGGGGAATTGCATTGTTGATAGCCTTATTAGCTCTCATGCTTTTCTCAAACTGAGCCCAGAATAATTCCTGTCCATCTTCATCATCCGTCCACAACATGTAAGGTTTGTTTCTACTCAGGAACAACCTGACAAGGTACGGCATGTTCTCATCTTCGATGTCCTTAACAAAGATCAAGATGACTTTGTCCAGTCCTGAATCGTTGAGATGCTCCAGAGCCATACGAAGCTTGGTCATGGTCCACGCATCATTGACAGACTGGTTGCTTAGCAACAAGACAGTCTTGAAGCTGTTGTCGAGGGCATCATAGAGCGCAGGGATGTAGTACATACCAAGGTGAAGGTCTTCGTCTCCGTAGATGATATTCTGTAGATGTGGCATCCTCTCCTCCAGGAAAGGTCTCATGACCCGGTCAACCCACTCCTGTTCTGCTTCCTCGAACATGAGGTTGAGATGATGACGATAATTATCTGCATTGAAATCTTCTGCCATTTCCTCGTATCCAATGACAGCTAGTTTGAGGAGAAAGAATTTGTGATTCAACCACCATCGTTTGTTGTAGGCAAGCATGGATATCATCACAAGCACTACACCTGTGAAGGTAAGAACCGTGATGAGAACAATGTTCGCACCACAGTGATCCTCTGGATGGAATGCCATGATTGGCTGATTCACCAATCCCTTTAAGGATGTCTTAGAGCACAGTGTCTTTTCTGGATGTTGGAGATCAATGTCAGCTAACTGCAGCCATTTCCTGAACCATGTCAGGGTGCATGTGCATGTGAAAGGGTTTCTAGAAATGTCCAACCTTAGTGATGTATTCGCTGGCAGCACTGTCCCACGCTCAACGGTGCTGATTTGATTTCCCGATAAAGAGAGCACAGTCAGTCGAGGAGCCTGGGCAAATGTTGTCGGTTCCAGACCACTAAGCATGTTATCAGCGATGTACACAGCATTCAGTAGATAGAGACCATGAAAAATGTCTCCTGTCATCTCCACCAGCTTGTTTTCACGGAGATACAGAACCCTGAGAAAAGAGAGGGGACCGAAGACTCCCGGCCTCAGCACTTGTATTCTTGATTTGCTCATATCAAGGTAGTAAACGTTTGAAAGGTTGTGAAATACTCTCTCATCCAGGCTGACTAAATAATTGTCGTTGAGGTGTAGTTTCTTTAGTGAAAAGAGACCAGAGAAAAGTGACCGATTATTAATCCCATCGTATAAATCGGTATCTCTCAGCGTGGCACTTTCTAAGTTTAGACCTTTTAAACATGTCATATTATAAAATGGTTCAATAGAACTTTGAGACACCTGAATATCTGTATATGACAGATCCAAATAGAGCAAGGTCCGAAGTTGCTTGAAGGTGTCTTTCAAGAGTACTACTTTCTCGTTTGACAAATGCAGTTCCCTCAAGAGTACAAGATCCGTAAATGCATATTGACTTTAACTGGCAAGTTGGTTGTCAGATACATCGAGGACCTGCAGATTGGTGAGCCCTGTAAACCTCCCTTTAGAAATGGATGGTATATAGTTATTAGATATGTCAAGTACTTTGAGAGTCCCAAGTGTCCAAAGTCGTCTACCAAAGTTAAGATCGGTGATTCTATTACCGGATAGGGAGATTGACCGTATTAATGGCATTCCGTCAAAGGATTGGGGTGAGATATTTGGTAGTAAATTGTTGGATACATCCAATGTTGTTAAATTTGGCAAGCAAGCAAAAGTTTCAGGTGGTAAGGCAACTAGTTTGTTATAGGATACGTCAAGTTCTATTAGCGATGTCAACAGGCAGAAGGACTCGTTGGAGAGAGAAGTTACCTTGTTATTAGATAAAACCAGCATCTTGAGCCATATGAAACCCCAAAATGATCCTGGAGGTACTTTCTCAATGGAATTTCTCCTCATGTCAAGTTTCAAAATAGACGGATAAGGGGTATGATAATCACTGGCATTGTCAGGTGGAAGAAGTTGATGGATTTTACATGAAGATATTGATAATTTGTTGATATAAGTCATTCCTAAAAATGGTCGAATATCAAATGATTTGAGAAGATTTCCTTGAAGTGTAAAACTGTCTATGAAAGTCAGATGAGAGTAGGCTTTTGGTGATAATTTCTGTATCCTATTTCCAAACAGTGAAAAATTACCAACAGTAGTATTTTGCAGCGGCAGAAAGTCACTCTGATGGACTTCTTGCACCTCATTCTCTTGAAGAAATACTTCCGTCAAATGAGACCATCGGGAAAATCCCTTGAAATTAAGACTTTTTATTTTGTTGTATTCTAGCTCTATTCGTGAAAGTCCTGGTATGGCTGTAAGAGATTTACAAGGAAGAGTATCCAGTTGATTATAACCCAAGTCTAATTTGGTGAGTAGCGTGTTTTTGACAAAGAGCAGAGGAGACATAGTCTGTAGGTTACAATGAGATAATATGACCGACCTAAGCATTGTCAGGGGCCACAGGGTCTTGCTTTCGATGACAGAAAGTGGGTTTCTAGATGCAGCCAGTGTAACAAGATTTGGCAGGTGTTTGAAGGACTCGTCATGCAGGGTTGTTATGTTGTTGGAGGACAGGTCAAGGGTATTCACTTCTATTGGTAAGTCCTGAGGTACTGCTCTTAGCCCAAGATTCCTGCAATTGGCGATGATTCCATGACTTGAGTTATTTAAATGGCATTTTGGAAGATTCTTGTTTGAAGCCACATCTTTTGCAGTACCCTCAGACTGAGGCAGGAGCAGGAAGACGATTCCTGATGCAACCAGAACCAAATGAACACATATCATGGCAGCCATATTGTTTCATTCACAGACCTTAATGATGAGAGTTGATGATACTGCCTTTAGAAACTAGATCAGGAATAGCGGCAGCGTGCATGAGCTTTCGTCAATGCTCATCAGCATAACTTTTCTGTAGAGTTACAGTGCAAATCATGTACATCTATTTATGCAAAACCTGAAATGAAATTGTGAGGGAAATCATAAAGCTTCCTGAAAATAATGAAAACAGGAAATACCAGGCCTCTCATAAATCCTGGTTTTTCATGATTACAAGAAAGAATATCAACTTTTGTATGATATTAATATGCAAATCCTCTATGCCGTAAAGAAAATATATGTAAATATATACAAATAACAACTAAATTAATCATACCCTTACCAAGTTTTGTCTTTTGGAGTGTTTTAAAAATTGACTTGTCTTGACTTGATTTATGTTTCTTGAGGATGTGAGGTATTAAAACCTACATCTAAAAGTATTAAAAGAATGCCCTAATGTCCACCTTTCATTCTTGAGGCACGAAAACACAAAAAAACATCAAAAATACAAGGGGTATGAACAATGTAGTTGTTAACTGTACATCCAACAAATATACATATCCCTGTTCAATAGTCCATATCATTTATTCATGCATAGTAAAATATTTTCTTGTGTAGGTTTTTTAATTTTTTTTATTGAAGTGGTTGTAAAGTGTATTTCCCTTGCAATTTTAACAGGAAGTTTTAAATATGAAACCTTGCTTGAAATGCATGCTTTTCTCTTTCATTTTCACGTCTGAAATCTGATCTAAACAGGAAGTTTGTAGCTCATCCTGAATGAAACTTAGATGAGGAGAAATTGCAGATAATAAATTATAGGGTCCTTCAAACTTTGTTTTTATTGAAAATGAACAGAGATTTTTGTTTACATGTATGCTAGGTGTTGATTTTTTCTTCTTGAAACTGTCAGGGATGTTTTGCTTTTATTCAAGACTCTATTCAAGACCAAAATGAAAAGCCAAGTTACAAGTTAACATTTTCCATGACCATGTCAAAATGTTAAATAGTATTTAAAAAAATTATTCTCATTTTCTTGTTAATGTTTATATTTTTTTCTTCTGCAGATATCTGACTGGAAGATTGATTTCACAATCTCTGGTAGCACAGACAAGGAAGGGTGGCAATATGCAAAAGAGTTCAAACAGTAAGATCTGAATTCAGCCCTATTTAAAATTATATTAATAATACAGTGATAATATAGTGAGTGCTCTCGAAGGGGACGTCCACCCTGATATTAATTTGGCTTTGATAGAAACAGACAAATATGACGAGCAGGTCTGCTAAAGTTTGAGCAAATTCCGATTAAAAATAAGAAAGTTATGAATTTTTGAAGTTGCGATCAATCAAACACAAATAGGCAAGTCTGTGACATATCTTGTGAGCTCCTCTCCCATTTGCTCTGCACATAACATTTGAGTGTGACTTTGAGTTTATTAACAACAACAATAAGAACAAGTAAAACATAATGTATCAACATGATTACATGAAATATAACAATATCACACAAGATAAATAACATTACAAGTGAATAAGATAAACATTGTTTTACAAAGTATGTCATATACAATTGCAAGAAAGATTATATGTACATTTTTGTTGTTATAGGGGGTACCAGAAGTTAGCACAAGTGCTGGTTGAGTCTAGTTCCCTGTCTTTGGCCAGAACTGTTGGTACTATACTATATCACATATATATAACACATAAACTATATAAGGAAAGTAAACAAGGAAATAGAACAGTCTGCCTGACTGATTCACAACTGTGCACCATCTATCAGTCAAACCAAGAAGCTTCATTTGGGCAAGCTTTTGTCCGAAAGAACTACATAAAGACTAGAATAGCCTATTATGCAAATAGCCATTCAACTTTTCAACTTGAACTGTTCAAAGCAGGGGACATCAACCCCAACCCTGGACCAACTACAATTGACAGTGACACCTCACAGAAATGTAAACAGTTGTACTACCCTCAACGGACAACATTCACTGGTTCAGAACTACACCGCTTAAAGAACATCACTGGTTATCAGCGACTTCCAAGTGATGTATATGACAAAGTGAAAGCCCTAGGTATTAGTTGCAAACCTCCAACTAAAAGGGGTACCAGGGGAGGTGTTAAGACGAAAGCCTGGTTAAGGAGTCAACTTTCTGGAACACGACTCGGACCAGTTGTTGATGGAAATGATGAAAGAAAGAAAGTTGCTCACTGTCCGATTCCAGTTTGTGTTCGGCCCCACACTCGAAATTCGTACACGCATGAAAGGCGGAATGGTGTTAACTTCGATAATCTTAAACTTGTAGAGACTCTATCAAATGCTCCGTCACCTGTAGCACTTCATCTATGGAATGCCAGATCTGTGAGGAATAAAACCACTGAACTATATGACTATGTACTTCAAAATGATGTTGACATCATGGTCATTACAGAGACATGGCTCCGTGAAAGTGATCCTACTGTCATAACCGAATTGTCGCCACCCGATTTTTCCTTTCACAATGTTGCTCGTCATGGTGATGCTCATGGAGGTTTGGGTTTTCTGTTCAGAACTCACCTAGATCTCAGACTGAAGCAGATTGAATTTTCCCCTAAAACTTTTGAATTTGCCTGTGTTGTAGACAGGTGTGAACAGTATCGTATCATTGCCGTATATAGGCCTCCACCTTCTACGACTAATGGCTTTACAGTAAAGGCCTTTCTCGATGAGATTGATGAATTCTTAGGCTTATGTTCAATGTTGGGCAGTCGCGTCATCATTCTCGGGGACTTCAATGTACACGTTGATAAGGCACATCTACCGACCCCACGCCAGTTTCTGGAATCAGTCACTTCATCTGGCTTCTCCCAGCTCGTTGAAGAACCTACTCATGATGGTGATCACACGCTGGACTTGGTCATTACGAAGACTGGAGATGACATAGTCTGCAATTACAACGTCATTGACAAAGGCATGTCAGACCACTTTGTAGTGCGTTGCAATCTGAATATCCAGACACCCCCTTCGAGTACTGACAGAGTGCTTATCAAATCCAGAAACTATCGCCAGATTGACAGTGAGAAGTTTCTAGCTGATCTTTCATCACGTTTTGCGGATTTTCCGGAGAGTGATGTAAACGACATGCTGACTTCCTTGTATGGTGCTGTCCAGGGAGTGCTGAATCAACATTGCCCAGAAACGACGCGAAGACGGAAACAAAGACCATGTGCTCCGTGGTATGATGACAGTGTGATGGCAAGTCGACAACTAAAGAGAGCGCTGGAGTCAAAATGGAGAAAATCCAAACTTGTTTCGGATCGACAGAATTACATAAATCAAAAGAATAAGCTAAATGTTATCATTCGGAAAGCTAAGCGTAATTATTACACAAATGTTATTCTTGAGTCTAACTGCAGGAATATGTTTTCAACAGTCAGTTCATTACTGGGTCGTTCAAAGCATGTCCTCCCAGTGTCCGATGAACCGCTTCGCCTCTGCAATGATTTTGCCAATTTCTTTGAGGGCAAGGTTAGGAGTATCAGACGGTTACTTGATGCACATCCACCTAATCAGCAAACAGTGTGGACTGTTCCAGATCCGGATAATGTTCCTCCTCTTGGTCCAGTAGCGGATGACGACTTACTGCTGGCTTTAACACCAGTCAGCGATGAAGATGTGAAGAGGGTCATAAAGAAGTCTGCAAACAAGTCCTGTGACCTGGATGTCATGCCAACCTGGCTGCTTAAAGCTAATTCAGAGGTAATGGTACCCGTTATCACGTCAATCATAAACTGCTCGTTAGTGAATGGAGTTTTCCCTGACAAACTTAAATATGCAATAGTTTTTCCTCACCTGAAAAAATCTTCGTTGGATTCTTCGGAACTTAAAAACTATAGGCCTGTATCTAATCTTGCTTACATATCCAAGGTGATTGAGCTCGTGGTGTCCTCAAAACTGACAGCCCATGTCGAAGAGCTTAGCTTACAAGATGAATTTCAGTCGGCATACAGGAGACATCATAGTACTGAATCTGCACTAACCCGTGTTAGAAATGATATTCTATGTGAAATTGATAAAAGGCGTGGTGTGATACTAGTTTTATTAGATTTAAGCGCAGCCTTTGATACCATTGACCACGGATTTTTGATTGATAGGCTTTCCTCAGAATTTGGAATACGTGACACGGCTCTGCAGTGGTTTCGGTCGTATCTTAACTGTCGGACCTATCGGGTTCGCATAGATAGCACTTACTCTGATGTTCATACTTTAGATTATGGAGTTCCACAAGGGTCCGTACTCGGCCCGCTCCTTTTTACGCTATACGTCAAACCTTTGGGAAGAATTATTAGTCGCTACGGTCTTAGATATCATATGTATGCTGACGACACACAAATATACACAAGTTTCAACCCCAAAAGTCTTGCAAATTTTCAAGAAGAAATAAGTAAACTGGAACAATGTATCTCTGAAATTAGTATATGGATGACCTTAAATAAACTCAAACTGAACGAAGGAAAGACGGAACTACTGCTGGCCATGTCACCAAAGCTTAGACATCACTTACCGCGTGATATAAGTATAAACATAGGAAATGGTAGAGTACAAATGTCTGACAATGTCAAAAACTTAGGTATTTTCTTTCAATCTTCAATGTCCATGTCTAAACAAATTACTGCTTTGTGTAAATCGCTTAACTTTCATTTGTACAATATTTCTAGAATCAAGAATCTGTTGACCTCTGATGCGTGCCATCATGTCGTAAGATCATTAATCCTCAGTAGAATAGACTATGCCAACTCTCTTCTTTTGAATGCTAATGTGACAGACATTCAAAGATTACAACGAATCCAAAATCGTGCTGCCCGGGTTGTTTTGGGAGGGAGCAGGTATGAATCAGCATCTCCTCTACTTAAGCAATTACACTGGTTAACCGTAAATAACAGAATCATATACAAAGTTTCCCTAATTGTCTACCAATGTTTGAATAATTGTGCACCAATGTATCTGTCTGTGCTTCTACATACTCCTCCTAGACTTCAATACAACCTCCGCTCTTCTAACGACCCCACGCTCCTCCGATTACCACGTATCAATTCAAGATCGGGGGAGTGTAGTTTCTTTTATTATGGCCCCAAAATTTGGAATACCCTCCCTTTCGACCTCCGTACCTCTCCCTCAGTTGAAATTTTCAAGAAAAAACTAAAAACGTACCTCTTCAATAAGTAAATTGTAATTCTAATATTTTTGTTTGTTATTATAATTACTCTTTTATACATGTATTATCTTGTGTTTACTATGTCATTATTTCTGTAAAGCGCTTCGAGCAATTCGTTGGATGTTGCGCTATATAAAAGACAATTGTATGTATGTATGTATGTATTTAGAAATATTCCTCACTGCATACAGTGTAAATACATGTAAGTCAAATGTATGTCGACTTCCGTATCAGAAACAAAAAAAATATCATTATCTAATGCAAAGATATTTTTAGAAATTCTCTAATCTGAGATTTCGTATTTGCCATTTCAAGAAGTCTTAACTTTTGTTTAACTTAAAGTATTTAGATGATTCATTAATCCCTTCCGAAAAGCATTTAGATCTTTTTGCTCTTAAAATCATGTGGAATACTTTGCCATATTTTCACGCCCATAAATGATATTGAGAATTGACCGTGTGTGGTTTTGCATTTAGGCAGATATAGTTGTCCATGTTCTTTCCTCTTGTGCCATATCTGTGCATTATTACCTGGCAGTATTCAATTAAGAATTAGGGAGTGAGGAAGATTGCCATTTTATAGGTCATACAGATGAAGGTTGAGACCGATAGCGTAAAGAAGAATAAGAAGAAAAAGAGACTGCATTTTAATGGGGAAGGGAAAGAGGATACAATGGAGATATATGGCCCATATTTAGACATTGCCTAATTGTCTTCTACAAAATATATTGTTGTATACTGTACATCGACAGCACCATCAACAATAGGGTATACATGTCTTTTCATTTCAGTTTCATTGATAATAGTTGCTAACAATGCTATATTAATCATGATTTGTGTCTAATTTCTTCTATAATCCTTTCCTTGCTACCCAGTGATACCCCTAGCAGTCTAATCCTTCTGGGATTAGCACTCTTTCCTATTCCCATGAAAATGCCAGGCATAGTTCAGGATGATGCAAGGTACTTTCTGTGAAAAATATTAATGTATAGTCCCACTCCTATGTTTTCATTTAACCTCTTGTTAAAGACAGATGATTGTCCTTGTCCTTGGGTAATATATCACTGTTCATTTTGAATTTGAATCCTGATTTTTTTTTTTGGTTTCTGTATCTTTTTTGCCCCAATTAATTCTCCATGTGCATGACTGTGTATTTGATGCAATTGCCTAGTACAATATTTAAACAGTAAATGTCATTAGTTCTCTTTTAAAACAGCGACCCCCCAATTAAGTTTTGGAGAACAGGAAAAAAAATATAATGCATACATATTTTTTTTACACTAATGAGATGTGATACCTAATGGTCTAGGCTACCCCCTGGCTTTAATATAGCATGAAATTAGAAGAATTGCCTGGTACAAGTCATTTATCAATTTTTTTATTTTTGGTTTTGAATTTTTTATATGTGGTAGTAGCTTTACACTGCCTATTAATTTACCTTCCTTTTAGTCAAAGCTTTTTCTCTTTGTACCTAGCGCTATTCATACAGCTCTTGAGTTATGTTGAAGAGAATCATATTTGTATAATTTATATCCTGTTTGATTTCATCACTTCATTTTGACCCTCCCCCCCTCCCCTCACAGACACACACAATTTATTTCACCATTATCATGCATTTCTCCTTGTAAAAACTTAAGGATAATTATTCAACCTATCGACAAAATTTGTATTTGTTAATATGGTGAAGGAGGATACCATTGAATCCTGGAATGAAACGCTCAAAGTTTAAGTTGCCAATTTAGATTATACGCTACTTTTGAACAAATAGATGCATAGGAAGTTTAAATATTTATATTATTTCATCCTGATTTATATGGCAATGTTTTTTTCTTTTCCTCTTTTTAGTTGGTACATTAGATATCTTAGGATATGTTGTCAAGGGACTTTTAAGCTATTGATTATTTTGAAAAATCTGTTATACATGTAAATATACTATTTTCATTTCTTATTTTGGTTTATTTGTTTACACTATAGTAGCAACTTATTGGTTAACAATATCTTGAAAAATTTCAAGTGTTTTCAAAATCAATTTGGTGTTGTGGGTTTTTTTTTTGTAAAGAGAATTTCATAATGGTTTGTTAAACTACTGCTTTTATTAATATCACTATTTGATAATGTGTATCATGGATTAACATTTTGTTTTATTTTGTAGGTGGTTGGGTAGGATGATTCATTACAGCTAGGACCATCTGTCAAAGTGACTATGAAATTAAGATCGCCAATAATTTTATGTAGAATCTTGTGCACTTTGTTGTAGTTGTGAATGTAAGGCTGCACCATTGCACCCTAAATCACTAGTAAATGGTGACCTTGTGCAGGTACATGTAGTTTCCCTTTACACACATCCTTGTTACATGTACAAACCAAACACATGAATTGCACATCGTCTTGAACGCAAAAAAAAAGCCAAAGATGATTTTGTTTTACACTCACCAAAGCACTTCGTAAGTAAACAGGGCACATGCAGATTGTCTATCTTGTATTAATGTGATGTTATTTGGTTTCCTTATTGATTATTAACATGGATGTGACAAAAAATTGTAGTACATTGTTATGATGAGTGATCGAATACAATGTTTATTTTTGTATTGTTATGTTTCTTTGTTAACAGCACCAAGGCATTTCATAAGGATAGAAGATGGAACGACTATGTGAGAAGAAGGCGATAGGTCAGGTTAGAAATAGTTTTGTTCACATTAAACCCTTGGTCAGATGCGATGGGATAATCCGCCGCACAAAGAATGGTGGCGTTTCTCTTTAAATGTATTGACTTTAAGTGTTAAAAGATATGAAAATGTGAACCGTATTGCATTTTACGTTGTCCTTTATACAAACTGCCGCGGTTATGCCTCATATATCTGAACAAGGCTTTATAGAGGTGTCTTGGTCTAGTGGATATGTCATTTGACTTTGGATCACATTGTTTGTGGCTCGATTCCCACCACAAGACATTAGTCTACAGTTGCCACACTCCACCCAGTTGTAGTAAGTGGTTACTTGGTGGTTCTCGAATGCATACATTTTTGTGTTTCTTTATTTAATGACTATCTTTATACTTGCAGGAGATGTCAAATAAAGACGTCAGGTCCATGGAAACAAATGCCGAACCTTGGACTCAAAGATGTCTCCCTACAGGTTGATACGGACGAAGAATGGGATGGACCCATTGCATTGTGGGCCATCGGAACCAACGGTGATGTCGTGACAAGGCTAGGGGTGACAAGGGCGTGTCCTGAGGTGAGAAAGGTTTTTATTTCTCAGGGAGGATTAGAAAAAATAAGGCCTATCATGTTTTAATATATATTTGTGTATGACACACTGTGCAACAAAGCATAGTGGTTCATGTATAGTGTACTGCATTAGGTCATTTTCCAAGTAATTTTGATGAATTAACATCTTTGGTTTGAGTGCCAGATTGAAATTACCATCAGTTCTGCGATTAATTAAAATACTTTGGACTCTCGCAACTACTAATACTCGAGTTTACGAAGGAAACATTCATAGGCATATAAAATTACAGTATTTACTTGATTACATTTGTGTCGTTCGGAATATGATGCAAAAATACACAAGAATTCTTTAAAAAGAAGGCATTTTCACAATAACAAATTGCTAATTCTAACGACTTTAGTACATGTAAATTCTAAAAACAAACGGTATTCATTCTTTAATTTTTCTTAGTGTAAGTGCCATATTTGTGGGAATTGCATTGAAAATGACATGACAAGGATTGTTGCAATTGAAGAAGAAAAACAAAACTAGATGAGAGTTGAGCTTTCGTTCTTGAATTATTTCATTTTATCAGGGTACAGCATGGATGCATGTACCTACAGATCAACCATTCCAATCCATCTCGGTCGGAGGAAAGTTCAGAGTCTGGGCTGTGGCTCGGGATGGCTCAGCGTTTTATCGTAACAGAGTCAGTGATTACAATCGTACAGGTATGTAATACATCTTTATAGCATTCATAGTGCTTTGTTCTTGCTGAACATTGATACAGGTCATTTTTCCTACTACAAAGTAGATTCCAGTAATCGACAATTCCTATAGTATAATATATTGATGTGTCGTGGTGTAGTGGATATGACACCACACAGTGGATCACATGGATAGCAGATCAAGTCCCGCTGTGGCACTTAGTCCTTTGGCAAGATAGTAATCTAGATTTGCCACACTCCATCCAGGTGAAGTAAATGGGTACCTCTTGAATGCTTCCTTATTATTGTGGCTTAGTTACAACTGGGGTAATGATATGATACTTTGTATTAAGTGCAGTAGAGTATATTCTAATAGTAGCTGCTCTATATAAATGGATCTATTACAATTATTATTATTATTAAGTGGGTAAACATTTCACTCAAACCCACTCTGCCATTTATAATAACAATTAAAATAGGTTGTAGTGTCTGGAATAGCGATACATTCCTATGGACATGATCGTCGTACTCTGTACACGTTTGCCTCCATTTGACAATTTGAATTTCATGAGTATCTGACGGGCGAGCTGAATGTCTTTGGGCATGATGGTAACCCACTTGGCGTGGATGAAGCAAGAAATCAGTTTTTATGTTCACCCTATGCAGGAGATACATGGTTTCATATTGCTCCACCGTCAGTCGCCCCTTTGAAACAGATTTCGGCTGGCAAGTGCTCTGTATGGGCTATTGATACACAAAGTAAGTTGAAAACACACTGCTCAAATCAATATTATGAAAAGAAAACGATATACCTTAGGAAAATATTATTTCAATGGTCCATGCCTTGCATACCTTGCATGGTTCATATGAGCGCAAAATCAATGTCAAATATTATTGTTGTAAATTATTATTATTTATAGAAAAGTAAACTTACATGTATATGATTTAAATGTTACAAACTACTGCAGAATTTCCTACAGCGTTTCATAAAGAGCAAAAAGAAAGTTGATGTGTAGAGTCAGTTCATATGATTCTTAACACTTGTGCATGTAATTGTCTAAGGGTGGAAAGGGTGAATAAAGAGTCCTAATTTTTTTCATTTTTGTATGCCTTATAGAATGTGATGAATTGAAATGGTAAATAGAGGGAACAAAACGGCACACTAGCCTAAATCAGTTTCACGTTAAAACAGTCGATTACAGAATTTACAGGTGCTACAAATCTTAACCATTATGTCTGTTTTTGCAGTGAACCTATGGTATCGTCAGGACATCACTCCGACCTTCCCAGAAGGCACCAAGTGGATCCACGTTAGTTCTAGGGTCCGTAAAGTATCCCTTGGCCCTCAAGATCAGGTATTAATCATCCGTCATCGCTTCACTTAACTCTCTATTTTCTATGCATCAGAAGATTGATAGTTGTAAACGTTATTTGTGACAAAAGTCAACTGCGGCGGTTCCCTTTGTGTAACATTGGTCAATCAATGCAGGTGAAGGATTAATTTATTTTTCTTGTTCATGCTGAAGGTAATATCATTTATTGAAGAAGAAAAAAAAGAAGAATTGTTTCAATGGTCTTTCAAATTTTTTAACAATTTCAGTTCTAGGTTTTAAATGTCAAATGGAAAAAGACCATCATGTACCATCTGAGATATAAGTTATTGCACATGTACCTTAGGTTTGTGTAAAATGAGACATTGTTTAAAAAAAATTCAAATTAAAAAATTTGATCAAAAGATGTGTGAAAGAGCCGATATAAAATCACATTCATGCTTGTAAACACAGAACTTCCTCCTCCAACATTGGAATTACAGCTAACCTAATTTAGCAACTGTTAGTAGAAATACCACCTGTCACCATCACCCGTCCATTAAGGTCACCTGTCTGTAAAGACCGCCTGTCCATAAAGACCACATTTTTTGTTTCACTCAAAGTTACAGATAAAAACCTTTACTATTAAGGGGTCTGCACAACATCCACCTGCTTATGTAGATGACATTTCTTCCTTCCCTTGAGCAGTCTTTATAAAACAGGTTTCACTATTTTGTTTCATAAGGTATGGGTGATAGCTGATCAGGTAGATGGGGCCCGTGGTGTTGTATGTCGACGAGACGGGATTGCATCGGCTAAACCCATGGGTAAAGCATGGGATAAAGGAGCAGGGGTAAGTCATATTTCATTTCATACATTCGTTCACTTACTGTCTCATTCATTCATTCATTTACTCCCGCACACTCTCAGTCAATCAATCACTCCCTCCCTCACCCACCCACTCACCCACTACCTCCCTCCCTAACTCACCCCCTCCTTCCCTCACCAACTCATTCACTCAGTTTACTGAGCCACTCCCTCCCTCTTCGCTCACTCACCCACCCACTCACTCACTCCCTCCTTCACTCACCCACTCACTAACTATCTTGCTTCCTTACTCACTAACTTACCAACCGACTCACTCCCTCCCTCCCTCATCCACCCACCCACTCCCTCACTCATTCAGTCACTCCCTCCCTTACCCACCCACTCACCCCCTCGCTCAACCCCTCACACACTCACCCCCTCCACTCAACCGCTCACTCACTCAATTACCTCCTTACTCACTACCTCCCTCCCTCCCTCACCCACTCCCTCCCTCCCTTCCCCACCCACTCACTCCCTCCCACAACCACCCACTCACTCCCTCACCCATCCACCCACTTACTCACTCACTCCCTCCCTCACCTACTCACTCACTCCCTCCTTCACTCACCCACTCACTCACCAACTTGCTTCCTTACTCATTTACTCCCTCCCTCCCTTACCCACCCACTCCCTCCCTCCCTCCCTCACCCACCCACTCAGCCACATACTCATTTAGTCACTCCTTCACTCACTGACCCAGTACCCACTCACTCACTCCCACCTTCCCACACTCACTCGCCCAGACACCCTCGCACACACTCCCTCATCTACCCACGCATTCGCTCAGTCATGCCCTCACTCACTGACCCACTTACTCACTCCCTCACTCACTCCACACTCAAACACTCCCCTTTTCACTCACCCTCCCTACTCAACTCACTCCCAAAACACAACAATGACCATTGTACATGCCAGCTGAAATTCAAGACAAATTCCAGACCACCTCTTTTAACCCAGAGTCATGAATTATTAATGATACTGCATTGCAAAACGTTGGCAGGTGCAATATTTAATGGTATTCTCCTTTTCATCCTCTTTTTCTCTTGCCCTACCCCCCTCTCCCGATCTCTCCCCCTCTCTATCTCCTTTCCCTCTCTCCATCTCCTTCTCTCTTCCCTCTCTCCATCTCCTTCTCTCTTCCCTCTCTAACTTTTTTCATCCTCCTCTTTCTCCCCTCTCCTTGTAACCCTCCACTCCCCCTCTCTTTCTCTTACAGGGAGGTATCATGCATCTGTGTATACGAGGCTGCACCAAGGAACTAGAGAGGGCCCCGTCGGTAGAAGATATTGCCATGGCAACCATTCAAGGAAGTGCACTGGACACCAAGAAGAAGGAGGACCCTGTGAGGCCATACACCAGCTCGGATGGAAACGCTCTCTGTTAACCATGATTATCTCTGAAACATGTGATTAAAATTTAAGTCTGTCAGTTCAAAGAAGGAGCCATATTGGTTGATCCATAAAATGCAGTCATTTGGATCACCAATCACAACCTTTGGTTCTCTTACACATGATAACATGTCGATTTATTGAAATCTGAGTGACTATCCAGTGAGTGCAGGCAATTGCACCCCTCTAAAAATCAACCAGGTCTAAGCACGGTATCCAGCGTAGTCTATCAGATTGTTTCTTATTGGTTAATCAATGGCACTCCTCCTAGGATCATCCAATCACAACATTTCTTTCTGCCGTAACCTGTCAGTAGACTGTTCCTGATTGGTTTATCAGTAAGATACAGTCGGTTGTACTCTTAGAATGAACCAATCATATGCAAAGTTCATCTTTAATCTGTCAGATAGATTCTGATTGGATGATTAGTGAGGTGCAATCAGTTGCAATCTTCCTAGAAGCAACAAACCACAGTCAAGCATCAATAAAATTTGATCAGAATTTTTCATGATGCGACTACCAGAAAACTGTGACATGACTAGAAATAAAGTTACATGAATCCAGTGGTATATTGAAAAGGTCTAGTTTTAGGAACCTACCACCAGATGAAGAAAAATGGCCTTTAACAAATGAATTTTTAATTTAAATTCCATATATATTCATTTTCTAGACTTGATAAATATTTTTACGTAATTCAAAATTAATTTGATCATCATATCTGTTGATTTGAGAATATCTCCCTCTGTGACATTATGAAAATAGCGCTACATTTTCATTTCTTACAAAGAAGTTACAGAACCTATGACTGTTAAATTTTACCTACGATAACTGAAAGATATATTTTAACACTTGCCAAGTTTCACTGACTTTGCAACAAGTCTGCATAAGGGCTTTCCTGCCGTTAATGTAAACAATAAAAAAGAGTATACTTTTTTCTTCATGAACAACATTATGGTCACAAAATGTACCTTTGTTATGTGTTGTGTGTTATCAGTTATGAAAAATTACCTGTAGTAAGCACAAGTACATGTACATGTCCCAGTTTTCTACACAGGACGGTCACAGTAATAAATATTGTAGAAAGTAAATTATTAAGAAACATACCTGAACCATTACGGTGATATCTATGTTATATAGATAATATAATATTATCTAACACAATAAATTAAACTATGCAAGGCAAACGTAAAATTAATCTGCGAGAAATAGATATGAATAAATGATTAAATGTGAATGAAATTTACACGGGAGGAATATAGGTATGATTTAATGATACTGATTTTATTGTTTGTTTTACAGCCAAGGAAGAAAAGAGTAACTATTAACCAAATACAACCAACTGCTTGCCAATTGTTTTTAGTTTAATAAAATGCTTATAATGATACTGATTTTTATTGTGACTAGTAGAAAATAGGACCATGTCATTTCAATGTCATGTTGCATATTACTTGGGCTACATAGTATGCATCAAGAAGTGCAGGTGTAGTTGTAAGTTATTTTGAAATTTGCAACATATTTTATTACCTCTATCTTTTAAAATACTTTTATAATATAGAAGTACAGTGCATATCATTATAATGACTTCTGTTTTGTTATATTTTTTATGAAAGGGAGTTTCATTTCATTACTTTTTAATAAGATTCAATACACTTTGAGAGGGAATTTTTAAAATAACACTACTCATTTGACTTTGCACTTCAATTGTAGGATATATTTTGTCAACACTCCTGCAGAAGTTAAAATATATAGTTATTGAAGAAAAATCTATAGTCGTTAATCGATTTCTATGTCTACTTATTTTAGTCTAAATGAAAGTTCACAATTTTAATTTTTTTTAAATATAAATTCAGAAGAAACAAAACAAAAGATGTTGAATTTACGCATTTTGTTTTGCCTTTTAAGCATGTTAAACCCCTGTTGCAGTAATATCATGATGAATACTTGACTAAAATAATTGATGAAAATTTAAACTTCAGTATACTTGAATGAAGCAAATATATATATATATATATATATATATATATGGATTTTAGGTAACTAAAATTTTACTTCATTGGTGCTACTTTTTGATGTCACGTTGTCTTCCATCACTTTGAAAACAATCAAAAGTTTGTGAGTTATTTTCTATACCAGAAAATATGAAAAGATTCCCACTTTCCTTGTATTCATACACCAAACATAATCTACTTTTTATGTCTCACTGTATTTCAGTTTTTATTTTGTAGAAATTACAGAAATATCTATACACATGTTCTGTCCTTTATTATTATTTGTACAAATGTATACATGTAGAGTATAACCTGTCTTAGTGGCCACTTCTCTATAGTGGCCAGTTTTCTTGTTTGCGTTGGGTGGCCTTTAAAGACAGGTTTGACTGTACTTATGTACAGTTTCATTAGTTTTGAACTAGTGTACTTGTACATTGTATGTGTACATGTAGTTCTGTAATTTTTGTTCGATAGAACTTGTTTTCTTCTTAAGGTTCTAATATTGAAGCTGATTGAAATTGTCCTTTAAAATGTACGAAGGTACAAGTCATAGAAAGTACTTTAGTGCAGTGTACAGTTTCAATACAAAACAAATTTAGTTTTGAGATGCTCATGCGGAAACGATAAAAGAAGGATGTAAAGAAAGATTTGTAAAATACAAGTGCATATAATTATTTTGAAAATAAGGTAAATGCTAGAAATTACATGTTTATTGACACATGTAAATTAAAGTGCAATATTTTCATGCTGGGTCTTTATAAATTATGTACATGAAACTTTAACAGTATCATATTTTTATGTTGAATAGTAGATTGTATTACATAAAATGATGACATCAGCTGATGAAATACTTATAAGATTAGATATCTGCCACTTTAAAGAGTTGATTTATATTCCAACCAATAAAAAAGTGCAATAATAATTGTTATTTCATGCGTAGCCCTTAGTTTTTGAATTAAATGTGTCCCATATTTCTATAGTGATTGTTCATCTCAGTTACTGTATATTCAATGATTATTGTTATGTATACTAGTTTTTATGTACTTTGGATTATTCCAGTAAAATTTGGATTATGCTTTCGTGATTTGCAATCAGTGCGATTTTCAGTTGTAGTAGTGTGTTGGTTCTCGGTTATTCAAGTAGGACTAATTTTTCATTAACTCTTTTCGAGAAAAAAATTGTGACAATGTTGTTTACTCTTTATAGATAAATTTCATCTCTTTTCAGAAATCTATTGATTAATCTCTGTGACTCTTTAATAGATCAAACAATAAAGTTCTGAGAGGAAGTATCAAAAATTGATTAAGAATAAACCATATTGTCCCAATCATGTCTTGAAAAAGGGTAAACCTACAAAGAACAATTATTCCTACTTCATGGGAAACAGTGTATATTTACAACTAATTTATATACAGGTATGCTACTTAATTACACATGCCATTGTCTTAAGTATTCCTTTTCTGTCTCTGTTGCTTTCTTTTTGTTACTTTCTCTGAAATTGTCGCTGTGTACGACGGCCTTGAAATTTGGATCATTGTGTGGTAGTTTTTTAGTCTTTTATTTATATGTACACATGTAAAAAAATATATTTACCCTAAGTACAAGTACAGTGTGGAAGTAGGCAAATTGTAGTTAAATTTCTCCAACTTTAATAAGTTGATAAACAGTAGAACTTTTGTAAGTGAGGCCCTTTAGGAGAAAATAATGGATGACAGGGATCTTTGTTTGCTTTCAATTGATTTGCTATACCATTATTCAGGTGGAATTCAAAATATTCTGTATGTTTTATTTTCCATTTTTAACCTCTTTTAAAAGAAGAGTGATTTTATGTTTACAGTCATCGTTTGTTGTTTTTATTTCTGTAAAATAAAATTAAACAAAATACATACAAAGTAATCAATATGATCATACAGAGAAAAAAGGAAATAAATACGGTTGGTAGCCCATTTTCAGCTGCAACTATATTGTTGCCGCTGGTCTTCCATGGGGCCACTTTAGTGTTTTCTGTTTCATCAATGTCGTTGTGTTTATTGAATGTCTACTTTTCTTTATTGTATTATAAAAATTATCATTATTTATAACATACTCTTAAAAGTCACTAAAACCATGTACATGTACACAATTGTGATAGGCGCACCTGTCTTTCTTTCAAAAGTCGAGTGACTCGAAAGGAATTTAAAATATTCCCCTCAAATTAAGATATCCTCATCTTGTCAAAACAGATATTTTTTGTAATGATTTTTAATGTTGATTTTAAAAGCTAGAGTTACGGAAAATCAATAATCTGAACCTGTTCTTCTCTGTAATTTAGATATTTCCCTCAATTTAAGATATCCTCATCCTTTCGAAAAATGATTATAATTGTAATGATTTTTAATAATGATTTAAAACCTATAGTTATGGAAATCAATATTGTGAAACTGTCGTTCTCTGTTATAATCTGTATTAATGTCAACACTTCGCCTACGCGTAACGAGGTGCTTGACTCATGTACTTGAGTCAAATGTAATTTTCTGGAAAATATATCATGTTTTGTTTTGTACTGATTATTCAACTCTATGCATGACATGAAGTGATTCTAACTTGCCTATAATTATGAAAATAATAAAAGTAGAACTCTGAAAAAATGAGCAGAAAAGTCCAGCGTGTGATGTATTTCCATTATCTTCTTAATAATAATAATAATACATAACATTTATTAGGCGCTTAATACTGATGTTTCTAAGCGCACAGTGTTCTGATTAAGAGAAGACTATAACCCGTAGAATTAAATTAGAAGAAAAAGCAAAAATACAAAAGTAACATAGATAAGGTAAGAAAAACAGTGGCAATCAACTAAATAAAGACAAATATGGTGCGCACCTCCATTGACCGACGCACAACTGCAATTTACAATTTGAAAAGATAGGTTTTGAGTAGAGATTTGAATTGAGATACAGAGGGGGCGCAGTGAATAAAGGCGGGCAGTTTGTTCCAGAGAGCGGGGGCAATAACTGAAAAGGCGCGGTCACCATACCGGGTGTTAGTGCGGGGTCCAGGTGTTAACAGTAATGTGGAAGATGAACGAAGTGTTCGTGACGACGTACGGGAACGTAAGGATATGAGATCGGAAAGGTAAGAGGGGGCTAAGCCATTGATAGCTTTGTAGCACAGGAGAAGAATTTTGAAGGATATGCGGTGGTGAATTTTAAGCCAATGTAGTGAGTTCAATATTGGAGTTATGTGCTCTGATTTACGCGAGAGAGTCACAAGCCGAGCAGCGCTATTCTGTACCCTTTGAAGTGGGACTAGATGTGACTGAGGGAGGCCAGAAAGAGAAGAATTACAGTAATCGATATGGGTCGAGACAAAAGCATGGACTAATTTTGAAGTTGTGGGTCGGTCAAGTAGCCTCCTGATTCTACTGATCTTATATATACCAAAGGAAGCAGACTTACAAATATTACTAATGTGTTGTTTGAAAGTAAGATTGCTGTCAATATTTAAACCAAGGTCACGCACAGAAGCACAACAACTGAGAGAGCCATCACTCATAACAAGATCAGGAAAGGGGTCTGAGTTCCGAAATTTAGAAATAATATGAATCATTTCAGATTTTGAATCATTAAGGCAGAGACAGTTTTGAAAAGACCAGGTTTTGATTTCATTGAGGCAACTGGTGAGTTTGTTCGCGGCTACTGTCCTGCTGTTTGGGTGAAGAGTTACATAAATCTGGGTGTCGTCTGCATACATAGTGTGTTGAATATTCTGATGAAGGTTAATAACATTTGAGAGAGGGCTGGTGTAAAGAATAAACAGGAGGGGGCCGACCACGGAACCCTGAGGAACGCCGCAGATGAGGGGAAATGATTCCGAGTTGGTGTCATTGATGATCACCTTCTGAGTTCGGTGCATGAGATAGGAGCGAATCCATTGAAGTACGGTGCCGGTGATGGAGAAGTCGTTCTCTAAGCGATGGAGTAACAGGTCGTGGTTGATAGTGTCAAATGCGGCAGTGTAATCAAGCAAGATGAGGACAGCTTCATTACCCTTATCTACAGCTAGAAGTAGGTCATTTAGGACCTTGACAGTTGCAGTCTCAGTAGAATGATGATTCCGATAGGCAGATTGGTGGATTGGAAACAAACCGAGATTGTCAATGTGGGCTTTCAGCTGTAGTGACACAATACGTTCCAAAACCTTCCCAAGGAATGGCAGGTTTGCGATGGGCCTGTAGTTCTTAAGTCCATTCGTGTCGAGACTCGGCTTCTTTAGGAGGGGAAGAAGCAGAGAAGTCTTAAAAGACTCTGGAACTATTCCGGATGATAACGAGAGATTGAACAGTTTGGTTATGTGAGGAAGGAGTTCATCGAGGACTTCCTTTAGAAGCCAGGTAGGAATCGGATCTAGCTTACAGTGTTTAGAAGGAAGTGAAGTGATGAGCTTCCTGACTTGTGAGAGGGATACAAGGCAGAAATCAGAGAGTTCATGACGAGGGCCTGGAGCAAAAGATCTTGAAGCTGGTGCTGGTACTACATTAGGGAAAGAGGATACAACTTTGGCGACTTTTTCCCTGAAGAATGTAGCAAATCTGTTGGCGAGTTCACTATCAGAAGAATGATCTGGAAGAGGTGAAGATTGAGTGGGCGTTGAGAGTGTCTTCACAAGACGAAACAGTTCTTTAGTGTCAGCATTCTTGATGAGATCTTTGAGATACGCTGACTTCGCATTGAAGATGCACTCATAATATGACTCGCATTCACGGCGGTACAGCTCTCTATCAACAAAAAGTCCAGATTTGATCGAACGACGTTCCGCACGACGCCTTCGCCTCTTGGCTTCCTGGATATCATCGGTAAACCATGGCGCATCAGGTCTGATTGATACAGTCTTGACCTGGATTGGAGCGTGCTCATCAATCAACGTCCGCAAAGATGAGTTGTAATGCTCCGCGGAAGCAGATGGACAAGATAGATCAGGAAGTGAATGGAACATTGTGTCAATAGAGTTGCGTAGAGAGTCCTTGTCAATGCTGCGATATTTCCTGAAGGAAACCTCTTTCTTGGGATTCTTCGGCCTTGCGATATTGACAGTGGTGACAAGTGCACAATGGTCGGAAGGCATGGAAGATAGCGAGTTCACGTTGCAGACATCATCCGAATTCCTTGTGAAAATCAAATCTAGAGTGTGACCTGCGCGATGGGTTGGTTCACGAACATGTTGCTTGAACCCTAACGAATCAACACATGTCATAACAGATTTTGCAAAATTATCATTGGGATCATCAACATGTATGTTGAAATCACCCAATAATAGAGGAAAATGATCATCTACAACAGCACCTTCAAGGAGAGTTGGAAATTCATCCAAGAATGTGCCGTTGGAGAGATTATTATTGGCAGACGGGGGTGGTCGATAAATACAGTACAACCTTACAGCAGATGAAGGTGTCAGATTGAGTGTGACATCCAGTAATTCAAAAGATGCAAAATCATTGTTGTTGTTCAAGGTACAGCGAGCCGTGGATCTATAGAGAAGCAAAATCCCACCGCCCTTGGAAGATAACCGGGGTCGATGGGTGAAATCATAATTAGGCAAACCAGATCTTAGATCAGCTAATATGAGACCATCCCTCTTACTGTCTCCAGAGAGCCACGACTCGGTGATGACTAGAACATCTAGATCATGTTCAACAATCAAATCAGTAATTGCGTGTGTTTTATTGGTCATGGAACGTGCATTCCAAAGGCCAAGTTTGAGGCTATTGGATGATACCGACATTGGTGGAGGGAAATCCGGCCTTGGTATCGTACGCCGCCCACGTCCGCGATGAGTTCGACGTCGGCGACCGATGCCAAGATCGCAGATCCTGCTCCAAACATTCATGGGTAGTAAATTAAGCGGCTGGTTATTAATCTGATGGAGATCATTCAAGTTGTATGAAATATGTAAAGCTGTACAATCAGCTGAATAAGGAGGTGAGTTGGTATGGCCAATATTGGAAACATTCTCAGTGCGATTCACTGGACCAGGATTGGGCTGGATATCTCCAGAATTAAGGAGACATCGAAATGTAGCTGTCGAATTACAGTAGTATAGTATAGGTTGACTACAATATTTGAGATGTTTACAGTGGAGGCTCTTCATGTGTGAGCCAGTACAAGTGAAACATTCCTTGGTTATATAGGGCTGATTCAAAGTGTACAGAATAGAAATAACAAGCCCTATAGAAAACAACACTTTCAATGGCTTTCCATCCATTGTACAAGCAGGAATAGCTTACACAAAAGGAGCATACAAAAGAGACTATTGTGAATGTCAGTACATTCAAATGGTATACAAGCAAAGTACCAGTAAAGCTTAATGCACATGCCTGTACAGTAAAATTGAACAAGAACATCAAACATTAAACTTAACAGAAATACTGCAAATTCACACCAAAAACAAAAGGAGCATACAAAAGAGACTATTGTGAATGTCAGTACATTCAAATGGTATACAAGCAAAGTACCAGTAAAGCTTAATGCACATGCCTGTACAGTAAAATTGAACAAGAACATCAAACATTAAACTTAACAGAAATACTGCAAATTCACACCAAAATACACCTTACAAATTGATTACCTCTGTTCCTTGACCAATATCAAACACAATGTTGAAAATACAAATACTAAATCCAACCAAAATTGGTGAAAAATGAAACAAATTACAGAGCTCAAAATGAGAGAGGCTACCTATAGAGGTGCACACCATGGGTGTTCTTTGTACAAAAAATACACCAGTTAAATACTTGCATTTCATAAGTGTAATATATTTACGAATTAAGATTTCTCAACAAATTCATATGACTTTTAACTTGAAATACCTAAACATTAGTTGCGCAGCTGAATTCATACTATCCAACTTAATTTTAAAAACTGTTATTGCATAGTACTTTTACTACAAATACAATACATATTGATACATACAAATCCTAATACACCTAATATTTCTTGTGGATAATGATAATAAAAAACATGTAAATGTCTTGTTTACCCAGGGTAGCCTCATCAGTATTAATATTCCCCCCCCCTAGGGCCCTGCATTCATATTGACTCGATTGAAAATATGTGCTTAATTCATTCTGTAATATTTATGAAATATTGTAGGACACCAACATCTTTTTTGGAATAAAGGTTTTCAAATCGGATCAAAGGCACACAGAAAATATTCATTAATAATTCGTTGGTGTAAGTTGGTGTATTGACTGAATGAAACGATACTCATTCATCTAAATCACTAACTTAAATTCAACATAGTAGGCATGATTTCATTTGAACGTTTTACATTCATTTTCAACTGTGACCATAATGCTTTCAGAATATAGTTGAATTTTATTTCATGATTTGAAATGCATGTGTAATATAATATGCATATTTATTTATTCAGTGGAAACTGTTTACTTGAGAAATTGGTTGGTTACTAATACAAGAATTCTGGTTAATGTAAATGTATTCATAAATATACATGAGCAAACGTTCACGTATGCAAACCTATAGGTAGAAAGACTAAATATCTATGTACCTATATGAAACTAAGGCGCCATGGACCATACAATGAGATGCCAGAATGAAAGCATATATCAATGAGGAAGACCAAATTCATTCAAACTACTCTC